TAGCATGCATTGCGGCGACGGATGTAGTTTGCATGGGAGTTTTCTTTGAGGGCTGCTCCCTTGATATGCAGGCAACAAATCGTGATTATCTGCATAGGAAGCATTATAGCTACTGCGGCAAAAAAGAACATCTCGTGAAAAGATTGGAACAACGCGGACTGCACAGATTGCTCACTGAAACACCCCTCACCGCCGTCTTTCAGCATAAACAGACGCATGTAAAATAAGTCCGGGGTTGACATGGCAACGGCAACGATCCAAACCAAGATGATAGCATACAAGAAGAGCTTCTGACGYATGCGCAGGAAGAAAGGAAAACATACCGCCAAGAACCTTTCCAAGGACACAACAAGAAGGTTAAGGAGAATAGCACTCACTGCTACGCGCTGAATGAACACGTACAGTTTGCACATTACAGCTCCGAACACCCAGMCATTGACAAAGAAGACAGATATGATCAAAAATGGTGCTACAAAGATGGACAGAAGAAGATCTGCCAGTGTAAGGCTTATGATCGAAATGCTGGAAATGTTCCTGAGATTTTTGGACGYTATCAACACAATTCCTGTGCATGTATTTGCAACAGTAGCAACCAGGATAACGGCGAACGAGCATATTGCTATCACGACAAGCTCAGCAGTAGTGAAAAGGCATGGAATASTATTGCAGTTGTTTGGGTTGACGCTTGGTGTCTGTGTAGCATTGACTGTTGTATTGTTCATCGTTCGGAATCTGAAATATGAACATTGTGTATAATTACTATAACTTAATTCAGGATAAAACAGGATCAGTTGAATAGAATCGATAAAATCATACTGAATAGACCTAATCGGCTACCGGCGTTGCTATGTACGTTACCACCCAATTCAAATCCTGTGGGAAAAAGAGCTTTTGTTTCTAAGAATTCAACTGTGAAATGAAAATACAACGAACAATGAAACTTACTCCCGGGTGGTTTGAATTGGGTTGAACCCGATTAGGTATATTTGTTAAGAATTGCAAGTATTGCTTGGCCTGCTCCAAGTCGTCACGATCGAAAGAAAATATGGCCTTGGGTGCAAAACCAAACTGTACTTTAAGCATTTACGGC